CAGACGGGTGATTGCCTGCTTGTTTTCCCATTACCAGCAGCCAGGCTGATGCCAGTGAACAGGGCTCCCAGCTGCACTCCCAGAGCCCTTCCCTGGGAGGCCAGGCCGAGCGCCCTGCGCCTGGCACATGAGCAGTCCTGGCCCTGACCGCTGAGCTCTGGTCACGTGGGTGCAGGTGGAGCAAAGTCAAGGGAGTCCCGTTGAAAGAGGCGTGTAATGAGAGACCCAGCAGGGCCTGAACCTGGAGCAGTGGAGACCTCCACCCCTGCTCACTTCTCAGCTGGTAGGACGCCAGCACCATCCAGATGTGCACCTACGTTTCCAGAACAGCTCTCGCCTCTGGAAGGAAAAAAAGCTGCGACTGCCCTCATGAAGCCTGGGCGGACGGGCTGAATTCAACCAGGGATGCTCCCTCTCCTACTGGATTAAAAGTTGGCAGCCAGGACCCCAAAAGCTTTCATCTTTCTGTGCAGATAATAGTGGAGAACAGAAAGGCATTCACAGACGACGGGGTCCCTCTGGTTTCGGCTGAGGCCACAAAGCTGTTGGCAAGACCAAGTCCAAGTCCCAACAGGACCTAGATGGTTAAGACGTAGTTCCGCTGAGCTCAAAGCTGAAATGACTTTCTGTATTTGAAATTCGGTCACCAAGTCCTGCTCTGACTTCCCGAATGCCTCTTCAGACTGTTTTCTTTCCATTTCTACAACTGCCATACAATTCCAGGCCTCACTCCCACCCACAACTTCCTCACGGTCCTGCCTCAGCCACTCCCAGCCTGCAGTCAGCATAAGCCGAGGCGAATATACACCTTTGATAAGATCCCGAGTGTTCTTCAGGTAAAGTCCAACCTTTCTCATGTGGCCTTCAAGGCTCTGGAAAAGTGGCCCCTGATCCTTTTCTAGACCCCAATCCACATGCGCCCCAGCCACAGTGACACTGTCACTGGTTCCTGCAAGAAGGTCATGCTTTCTTTCATCTCTTCAAGCCCCTCTTACCTCTGATGGAATGAGTTGTCTATCCTTCTTATTCTGGGCAACTCCTTCCAGCCTGAAGATCTCAATGGAACCATCGCTTCCTCTAAGAGACTACTCACACCTCGAAACTGGTTGAAGCGGCCCTGTTCTGTGACCTACAGCACCCCAAACATCCCTTATCTGGACACCTACTTTAATGGAGAGAGAATGATTTTTAATTTGTCTGCCTTCCTTGTAAGTTCCATGAAAACTGGGGCTTTGTCTTTGGTCATACCCCCCAGTACTCAGCACAATGAGTAAGTACATAAAGAAAGAACGCAATAAACATTTACTGGATTTCTGGACTACTTGGGTTTCCCTGGCCAGGAGACTGTGACATCAGGGCTAGTTAAACTGTGAGGGTGAGCCTTACTGCCTAGAATCAAGTGAAGGGGCAGGCTCTGAGGCTCTGTCCGGCAGTACCTGGAAGTCATTTCTTTTGAAAAATTGGAAGTCATTGCAAAGGAGTCTTCCAAATGCCAATCCCGCCTCTTAAACATGGTATTTATCACTACCTATAAGCAGGCAAACTTCTCTAGCAGAAAAAGTCAACTTTCCAGCCCAAAATCAGGAGGGCCCTGACTGGCTAGCATTGCCAGAGACACTCCCTGAGCAACTGACAGCATTTCAAGCCATGTCTGACAAGTCACCTCTGTTCCTTGTAGCTCAGGGGTCACAGGGAGCTGGCATTTCAAGCTCCTTCTGCAGATGAGAGACAGAGGCAAGCAGGCAGGTGGTTGCTGGAGTTTGATGTGTAACGTGCCACTTGCCCAAACAGCCCTGATCACTCACTGACATTTTATGGCTTATCTCTAATCCAGGATCAGACAGTTCACTCCAGAGCTGGAGGGAATAACTGAACAGCACAAACTGCATCTTCACAAAGACAGAATCATTGCAAGGAGCCTCTCTGCCAGGGCCCCAGGCTGGGGGTTTAGCTAAGCACCTTGGCCCAGAGTGGGGATGGCTTATTGCTCTCCATCACTAAGCTCTCTGCAACCCATTCACTCAAATTCCAGAAGAGTTGCAGAGACAGGAATCTCACCATCCTAGCTGGCGTCCTTGGGGGCTCTCATCCATGACACTTACAGAGCACCCACTATGTGCCCCTGGCCTGGTGAAGGTGGATGGGCATTGTTTCTGCCTCTAGGATCGCACACTCTTAAGGCAGACGCGGGCAAGAAGGCACTCGCAGTCATCAGTGCCCTGAGCCTGGCACTGCCCGACCACCTGCTCACCTGCCAAGCTTTGGCTGAACGTCTCCTCTTAGGCCATTCTCACACCCTCCATGCCTCTCTCATCTCATCTCCTGCGCCTCTCCGCTCAACATCCAAGCCGCCACTGGCGCATCCTCTCAGTTCTTCAAACTCATCATCCTGCCTTAGAGCCTTGGCCCATGCTATTTTCTCTACTTAGAACATCCTATGCCCCCACCCCCCACTCACAGTTTAAAGGCCCCCTCAGAAAGGCCTTTCCTCACCATCCCCTATAAAGCAGGCCCCTCTCTCTTTCTCACCACCACATGTATTTCCCTGGTCATATTTACCAAAATTTGAAACTCTGTATTTGTTTGGTCAGTTAGTTATTTCTGTCTCCCCTCCCAGAGTGTAACCTCCAGGTGATCTGGAACTGTGTCAGTGTGGTTCCTCACTGCCCATCCACACACTCTGCACAGTGCTATGAACAATGACAAGTGTCCAAGAGATAGTTGCTGGACAAATGAATGAAGGTCTGTCTCAAGGACGTGAAGGGTCTGAGCTTATTTGGAGCTGCAAGGGGAAAGCTCACCATGCCTTTTAAGTGGGGGAGACACTCAAACAGAGTTTTATCACAGAATTATCCACACCTTCTGCCGTATGGAAATGGACTTTGGGAGCCAGGGAAAGGCATACTGGAGGTAAAGAGATCTATTAGGAGATAGCTATAAAAACTGAAGTTGTCACTACTCAAAGTGTGGTCCGTGGCCAGCAGCATGGACCTCACCTGGAAACGCGTCAGGTCCCACAGAACTGTTCTATCATAACCTGCATTTTAACAGAAACTCCAGGCAACTGTTCACATATCTAGAAGGTGGGCTTTGGGAGAAAGACAATAATGCCCTGATGTGCCTTTGTAGAGCAGAGGATAGAACTGATTCATCAATGTTACTATGAATGCACTACTCTGGACATGTGCAGGGTGTCAGAAGTCACAAACTATCTCCAACTGCAGTCCCACTGGGGTCAGGGAGAGTGGAGAAGGGGAAAGGTGGGCACGCTGAACCAAGGTGGGCTGGCTGGGACCTTGGGCAGAGAAGCTGCAAAACACACAGCAGGTCCAAAGATACAGAGGTAAGGATTACTGGCTCTGGCCATGAAAGAGCCAACTGTTCTATTTCCATTGTGTTGTAAGTGTCTCAAGCACCTGGCACAGAGCCTGGTGCGTAAGAAAGGCTCCAATAATATGTGTTGAAAGAACAAAAGAACAATCAAGCAGTGATTATGATGTGGAGGTCCTACAGCAGATCACAGGGGTCTGGGTACAAGCAAGACAGACCTTCCGGCTTCCTGTTTTGTTCAATATATTCCCTTTGGTTAGAAAACTGTGAAAATCTGAGAATCTAAGACTCTACTTTTGCTGAATAAAAATATAGGCCTTGTACAACAGAGAATCAGTAGGAAAGCCTGGCACAGCCTTATAATAATCCAAATGAGCTTCTGAGGACAGCAGGCAGTGAGGGTCCCCCAGGCCTGCGCAGTCTCCCTGGGGGCGAGGCCAGGCTGGTGAGGAGATCACAGAGAACAGAAGCTGTCAGCGCTGGGTGCAGTGGGGAGGGGAGGGGAGGGGCGACCAGCAGGAAAGCCGAAGCCAGAGGACCACGTGACAATGTGGCCACAAGGGACCAGGGACTCACCAGTTTCAAATCTCAGCCCCAGACTCCATCCTGCAAATGAACCTTCCATAGAAAACAAGCACGGAGATGAAAGCGGAGCAGCTCTGGCTGGAGGAGACCAGAGGGGCAGAGCCCCACTCCTTGTCCCTGACCCACGTTTCATCAAAAGCTCCGGGGACACGCACCTGGGACTTTTCACGCCTAGCACTAAGGGGGTGCTGGTTTATGTTTGTGGAATAAGGAACAAGTAAGCAAACCCCTGTCAATTCTGTGGTTTTTCTTTCATTTATTATCCCAATGAAATGTGCCACACCTGCTCAAAACACAAATGGGTAGCCTTATCCCAAGGAAACTGTTTAGAGTTGCAAGAACAAATTATCACCTCCTTTCCTTCGTCCACCCTGATGATCCCTGCCTCCCTGCCTATTCGATAGTTCCTTTGATTAGAACCCGATCACACACCCCTCCTCTGGGAAACTTTCCCTCTTCGTTCCTCCAACAAGAATACACAGACCCATTTTATCCCTCGTCCCTTTTTCTATGAAACCATTTTCTCTTCATCAGTTTGAGTTCAAATGACCTGTCACCATACTAGCCACTGCCCCAGTTGGACAATAAACCCCTGAAGGCCCCAGAGAAAGGAACAGTAGCCCCTCTAGCCCCAGGGCCTGGTATCCTGCTGGATGCATTCTAGATACACAATAAATGCAGCTTAAACATGTGCTGACATCACATGCCTTTTCTTCACCATGCTGTCCCTAAGGCAGGCATCCTAGGCCTCCCTCACATCTTTCTCCGTCAGCAGAGCTGAGTGACTCACATCTTTGGAACAGCTTACAAGCTCACCTCCTCCAGGAAGCCTTGCTAGATTCACTTCAGGATCACACACCACTCTCAGAATCACCATTACCCTTAGCCCTCAATCACTCCAGTTACATAGGCGGTAACATTTTCATCTTGTCTCTTAGGCCAGAGAGTCTGTTCATGTGGCAGACTTCTCAAAGGCAAGTCTCAAAGCCCACTGAGATTCAGAGGCCCCAGTTTTGGCCCAGAGACGCCAGAACAAGCAGACATAGGGTACTTTTTCATGACAAAAGATAAGAGAGAGCACCGACCTTGGATGTGTAAGTGTGGCCATCGGAGCCGCAGACCATGGCTGACAGCGCCACCGGACAGGGCTTGCACTTGACCAGATTCGAAGGTCCAACCCAGTGTTTGTGGGCCACGTTTCCTTTCTTTTGCCTGAGGGTGAAAAAAGAGGGGTAAATTAACTGAAATTCTGGTCCCAGGGGTCTTTCTTCTGGGTTACCTGGAAAAGAGCCACATAAATAAAGGCCAGTCAAACATCCAGGTGCACCCTAAAGGCACCTGGCCAGCACCCCCATTTGTTCTGACTTGCTGACGGGGCAGGAGACTCTTTTCCAAAGGCCTGGGTTCAGCCCACCAGATGGACCGAGGAAAGCAAGTGGCCATTAAACATGTTGTAAAACATCACTTACTGACACGAAGAGACGTTCACAATGCATGAAAGAGACAATGAGAGGACTCTACCAGCTCTCCCAGCCCCTGTGAGGGCTACGGCAGGTCACGAGGCCTTAAACCACGTTCCAGAGCAGCACGCTCCTCGGGTCAGCCTCCGAGGGGGAGGGCACGCAGCTGAGATAGAAACGCATCTCCAAACACAACCGAATGACTTCATCACAGCTGTGGAAAACCATCTCTGGATACGTTTTAAAGCCATTTCAGTCTAGCTTTCAATATGCCATTTGATAGAGGCTCTGAGGTGATATCACTTTCAACTGCTAAAATAATCAGAATTCTATTCTTTCATTCCAGCTCCAGTCCCCTCATCCTAACCTTTGTCATCATGATGAATGGTGCTATTAGGATGGCTTATGTCCAGGGAAGGAACCCCATCCCTGTATTGTAAACCACTAAAATAAAGGCCTACAGTTACTGCCACCCTTTTCCTCTTAGTTGAGGCTGTTTTCCCAGCAAACCACTGGGGGTGACCCTCATGGCCGAGGGGCGAGTTCTAGTGGAGGACAAGTGAGTGTGAACTGCCCACCAGTCAGGCGAATACTGTGCCCTTGAAGTATTCGGCTCAGGCGGTCCTGCGTGGTGCTTAATATCTGGCCTCTGGAGCCAGAAACACGAGTTCACACCTCAGCTCTGCCACTTAATGTGTGATCTCAGCAGAATATTTCACTCTGACATCCCAATTTCCTCATCTGTAAAATGGGTTTAAGGGTGGAAATACAATCTCCTTCAAGCAGATGGTATGAAGAGTAAAGTGAGCTGATGTATATAAGGGACTCGGTATAATGCCTGGAAGACAGGAAGCAACAAAAATGGTAGCTGTTGTCATCATTATTATTTGCCCAAATAGATGAGGGTATTGAGAATGAAAGTAGTGTTGCCGTAGACATGTGATTTAATTCTAGGGCCAGAGGTCTGCAATGGCACTGAAATCCCCAGGACTCATGGGCCACAAGGAAGGAACCCCCTCTTTCAGGTGAGTAATGAATCGCCAGCTCCTTGAGGATTTGGGTCTCTCATATGAGGTAACCCATCCTCTTCCAAATGAAGGCAAGTAAGCATGAACAGCACCCACCAACCTGGCTCTTATTCCACCTGAACCCCGCCCCCAGGGATCTGGGGGAGGCAGCAAGAGGAGGAGGGTCTGTTTGGGGAACTACCTTTGAGGATGACATCAAGGAGGATAACCACGTACCCACAGCACGACATGGAGCCAGCGGGGATCCCAGGCTGGACAAGCTGTGGGGCTGACCTGCCTGAGCAGCGAACTAGGAAAGGCAGTCCTGTGAGGGCACTTGGCGATCACCCAGTCCAGATGACTCACTTGACGAATGGGGGCAACTAAAGCCCAGCGGGGGGAGTCTGGAGACAAGCTGGGGCTAGGCTGTGGTGACATTCACACAACCGCAGAGTGTGCGGAGGTGACTCTCTTCTTCGACTCATCTCAGTCCACATAGGTTACTGGCCTGACAGTTCTTGGGGGGCACCAACACGTCTGTCATCAGGGTCCTCTCTCTGAAGCCTCCCTGTTCCACAGCCTCTACCCACCTTGTCCTGGCCTCTCCTACCACGGCCTTTCTAAATCACACGGACATGAGGTCTCCCATTACCCCTAACTAAAGCCACTTTATTCTTTCCAGGTTTGTTCTGGACTACTGAAACAGGGAGGGGAGGTGACAGGACTCCGTGCAGTGGATGAGCAGGTTGTTGGCACGGGGTTAACCTTAGAGCATCTGATTCCTTCAGGAGGACACCACGCATTTATCATTCCCACAGCAGTTTGTCTGACACTGATAATGAGTCAGCAAATACATGCAGCAGTTCTGGCATCTGGCAGCCCCTCTCCTGGATCAGTCCCCAGCGTACATGTCCATAGCTGAAGCAATTCGTGTTTTGAGTTTCCAGAAAGGGGCTATAAAGTCCAAAGAGTGGGCAGCTTTGCTGGAGTGGACATAACCATGTGCAGTGATGTCCCAAAGGAAGTCAATCTGCAGGAGCTTAGCCAAAGGCAGACAAAGGAGAAATGAACACTGAGCCACTGGCTTTGAGGACAAGACAGAACCACCTATTAATCACTAGCTAATGACAGGTCATCCCTGTCTCTGGATCTGAACTTCACCATTAAATTAAGTGCATTAAGGGCAGGCAAAGAGGCAAGGCTGGCCACTGCTTACTAGTGGGTCTGGTGCACCAGGAGTGCCCAATATATCCTTGCTGGGTGAGTGGGGGTGGGAGGGCTGACCACTGCAGCGGTTACTCGGCACTTAATCACAAACTCACAGGCTATCTATCAGAGCCAGAAAATACCTTAAAATGAATCTAGTCTAAGAACTTTATTTTATAAACGAGGAATCAGAGACATGGGGGAGTGAGTTGCCTAGTGTCACAAAGAAATATGGCAAAGTTATTTTATATCTATTTGTCAGACTGATGTTATCCTGGAAATGATTGCATTGCACTGAGACCATTTTAATTCCCTTTTTTGGCATCTATATTTTCACTATCAGGGCTCGGTTTTACAAATAAAGCCCCTCTGAATCCCTGTCCCTGGCTTTTCACCTGCGGAGGAGCAGGCTTAGCATACGCAAGGCCACGTGGTCATGGATTACGTCCAGGAGGAACCACGGTGACCTCTCCTGGGATGCCTTGGGGGCTAGAGGTACAAAGGCCAAACCACTCTGAATTTTCTCAATTCTAATGAAACAAGCATACCTGTTATACTAGGGCAAAACCAGGTGTTACTTACTCCACTAGGACCCAAGTGGAGATGGCATCCAACCTGTAGTCTCTGACCAGAGGCCAAATTATGCAAAGTTATGTACCAAGTACATGTGCACCTAAGGAGGCGTAACTTCCCTGGTTATTGTGTATATATTTCAATCCCCACAATTCAGTGCAAACCATAAAAAATTACCAACCCAGTCGAGACAAGGGACTAAGCTTTCTGATTGTAAGATATTTCACTTCTTGAGTCAATGAAGAGTGAAATCCGATGAAGGTGTCTTGATGGGAAGGCTATTCCCAGTGTCACAGACATTCATCAACTGGGGCGACACAAGCAATTTAGTCTGGGAGGCAGGTCCTGCCAGTCTTTCCTTTGGCCACAAAGTCCGAATTCCACTCCAGCCTGGCTGCTGCTGGGGGCAGCCACACCTCCTACCCTACTCACAGTGCCACACAGAAAATCCCAGCCTACACACACACAATGGAGAGAAGACAGGCACTCGGCCGATCACCAGCATTTCTCATGCTCTTTTGCTCAACTGCTTATTCTCAATCTATTTCTTTTTCTAAGTTTACCAAAATTCCCAGCTTGTCTGTTTTTGGAAGCAGAATAATGATTCTTAAATACAAATCTGGTGACGTGACTCCCCTGCTTAAAGCTTCCGTCCTCTCCCCACATCCTAGGGTATCGTCTGAACTCCCAGTTTTGGTGTTAAACTGACTGAGACTACCTTCACTGGGTCACTGCCTGCGCTGCTCCCCTCTCCAAACTGCCTACCACACACACACACACACACACA